CCCACAGGACGCTGGTGCCCACCCTGCCTGGTGCTGCCTCCCAGCCCCACAGAGCTCAGAGCAGCTTCTGGAGGGACCGAGACAGGCAGGGCTTTTTTTAGGTGCTCCGTAAGTGCCGTCTGGGCGGTATTTATATCGGCTCCTTAAATAAGAGCTGCCATCTGAGCCTGACGAGCCTGCTTAATTATTAATGCCCCGCAGGGAAGCAGCACTCCCGCCTGCTCCGGGCCCACCTCCCCGCTGGGATCCTGCATCCCAGGTCCCCCCGGCTCCCCACCACCACCCAGGGCGGGTTGTGACAGCCTGGACATCCCAGAGCTCCCCGGCTTCCCACGGGACATGTCTTACGTGGGAGCATCTTCCCGAGGGCAGGGAAGGAGCTGAGAGGGGATTTTCCAAGAGGAGGGGGCCATGGCATGGGCATTGCTGCAGTTCTTGGTGTTGGGAACAAGGGGAGAGTGGGAGGCACGGGGTGATGCTCTGCCATCCCATAGCTTGAGGTGGTTCCAGGGAAAATCATTCCTGGAAGCCCCGAGGGGCAGGGGCAGCCCTGCTTGGAGACAGAGCTTATGCTAAACAGCACGGGAGGGCAGCTGCTGCAGCAGAATTCATTTGAGCTTGCAAAGTGCTTTGAAAGGCTGAGATGAAAGGCCAGGGCTGGGTACAAAGCACTGCAGCTCCACAGACAGGGGGAAGGAAACTCCCAGCAAAGCACCCTGGGTCTGTCATCGGCCCAGCAGCCACGGCCCCTCCAGTGCCTCCTGCCCCAGGTGAGGCAGCCTCTGGCTCTGGGACATTTTGGGGAGGGTTGGTGACCCCTGAGCTCACCCCGTTGTTGGTTGTGGGGTCCTTGGTTGGGTGTGACCCCCCAGCTCTGGTTTGTGTCAGGGTGGAGGGGCCAAGGCTGCACCGTGGGGGCTGGGGAGGTCAGGGGAAGAGGGGACAGCCTTGTCCTGCTCCTGGGTTGTGTCCCTCGCTGTGTCACACAGCCAGGCTGGGGCAGCACGGTGGGAAAGGTGTCACAGCACTGGGGTGGTGGGGACAGGCAGTCTGGCCCAGTATTGGGTCAGGAAGGGAGGCCACGAGGGCACCACTGTCCTGCAACCTCAGGGAAGGGGACCCTGAAGCTAGAGGTGTCCTCAGCTTGTTTTTCCACCAGCATAACTGCAAGAGGCACAAAAGTGCTCCCCTGGGCAGGGCAATCCCCTTCCTCAGGGCAATCCAAGCAGCAGCTGCCTGGGCAGTGGGACTTGGGGTGAGGCTGGGCAGCATCCCAGGGATGGGACCCATCCCAGCCCACACACCAGCCCTGGGAAATGCCACCGTGTCCCTTGGCCTTCACAGCTTTGCCACCCACCAGCTGAAGACACCAAGCAGTCAGGTCACTGCTGGTGTGAGGTGTGGCAGGTGTACCTGTGGGGACAACCCCTGGTGTGGGGGACAGGCTGGGACACCTGCACCACGCATCCCCCCTGCTGGGCATCCCCTTCCCTGAGCATCCCGTTCCCCGGGCATCCCCTTCCCCGGGCATCCCCTTCCCTGAGCATCCCCTTCCCTGGGCATCCCCTTCCCTGGGCATCCCCTTCCCCAGGCATCCCCTTCCCCGAGCATCCCCTTCCCTGGGCATCCCCTTCCCTGGGCATTTCCCTGGCTCCAAGCAGGCAGACATGGAGGGAAAAGGCACAAGGCTAGGGGCACATGACGTTGCTCTCCTGCTGGAAGTGAGGGGTGAGGATTTCTGGATCCATTTTCAGAGCAGTCAGCAGCTCACCCAAGCAAACCTCCAAGTCACAGAGAATTTCCTGCCTTCCCTCACGGTGTCACAAGGCATTGACAAGACGTAGCAGGGAAGGCAAGAAAATGCAAAGAGAAAGACTCTTCTTCCAGGCCACAGGAATTAACAAAGTGGCACATTTGAAGGCAGAGAAGTATTTTTAATCCCGCAGGCAGAATCGAGGTTATTAGGTTTTTCTGGGACATCTGCAGAACAGACCCACATCCTTTGGGTCATTGTGATTTCCCAGCACAGAAGCTGCCCCAGCCTCTCACTGAGGGGTGTCTGCAGGCACCAGAGCTGGGAAAAGGGGATTTAGTGATGTCCAGCCAGGTAACACCTCCAGCTGCCCACCAGAACCTTCTAACTTGGACCATCCACCACCAAACCTTCACCCCACTGCTGCCCAGGCTGTGCAGAAGGGGAGTTAGGTGTTGTGAGGGGTGTTGATTTATGCATCAGAGCTCAAAAAGGGGGCTGGATTCACTGCAGATAAATATTACAGCCAGATTGCTACTCTGAAGAATTTACAGCATCATGAATATCCTGTTCTGACCTGTGATGGGGAAGGAAATCATCTGCGTTGGGAAATGTATTTATGGCTCTGGTGCTCTGACAGAAATAAATCAGTATTTGCTCGTTTTGGGGCAAAAACAGGGTCACTGTAAATCAGCAGAGTCGGGCTGGCTGACAATGTGCCAGGTTTATGGAAAATACTAGATAAGATTCCAAAGGTTTGTATGGAGAGGCAACAGTTTTTATTGGGACTGTTGATATATTTGGAGAAATCAGAGCATCTTCCAGGTGCAAAGTACTTCTTCAGGTCTGGGCTTGTGTTCAATATTGTCCACGAGAACGCAGGAATTGTACCCAAGGGATGATATTATTTATTTTCCAAGTTAGAGGGTGCATATATCCAGCAGCAGGATCACCCAAAAGGGGATGAGCAGGGAATCTGCTCTCATTCATTCACAGACCTGAGCGTGCTTGGCTCGGGTGATGCCCCACAGATACCTCCAGATAATCGATAAGAAATAGCAGCAACAACTGAAAAATTAATTTGTGAACCAAACTCCTGTAAAATTCTTTCATTCTGCACTTTTTTTACTCAAACCCTCTCCCAAAACTGGCGCCAGGCTGAAAACAACCCAGAGCCCTGCTGTGGGAGCTCTGCAGAGACGAGAGCGAGCCCCTGGGAGGATGAAAGAGCCTTTATCAGGGGAGAGGAATAAACTGCCCTTGTCTGTGGGCCGTCTCCTCGGGATGGCCGGGCAGTAAACAAAGGCTGGGCACGAACAAAGGCTGTTCTCACTCGGGAGCCACGTGTGCTGCGGGGTGTGAGGCCGGGGTGCCAGCGAGGAGCCCGAGTTTTGTGGAGGAAATGGAGAGGATCCGGGCGTGTTTCTGCCCCTGTTTGTCACGGGGGGGATCTCTTCTGCTCTCGGAAGCTGTGAACAAAGGAGGATTCTGTGCTGCACAAATCCAGGCGATGCCATTCTCTGTTTTTTGCAGAGCAGTGCTAAATCCATAATAAAGACAGAGGTCTTGCCCCAAAAGGGTGCTGCTCACCACCACCAGCATTCCCAAAGCAGTTTGTCCCCACCCACGAGGGTGAGACCGTGGCCATGGGTTCTGGACAGCCACAGCATTGCCCCGAGGACACTGGCACGTCCCAGTGCCACCCAGGCTTCCTGTGAGGTTTCAGAAGGAACCCTCAGGGCACAGGGGGTGGCTGAGTCCTCCGAGCTCATCCCCACACATCCCAAAGCACCTGTGCAGGGACAGTGCCTTGGGAAGGGCCAGGGACACGTGGCACGTGAAGGACAGTGTTTATTAGCACTGCCTGGCTCTCTCCAAGCAGGATAAAGCTCTTCCATTGGGATCACTCTGTTTGTTAGAGCCCCTTCCTTTCTCCCAGTGCCACAGCATCCTCTCAGCGCCGCTTTATCCAGAGGTTTTTTAGGAAAACAGGATCCATTAAACCCTTTCATTCCTCCCAGTGCTGCAGCCTCCTCTCAGCATCACTTTATCCACAGATTTTTTTTAGGAAAGTGGGATGTCTTACGACTCCCAGTGGCTCTCCCCATGTAGCAGAGCCCCACATGGCTGGAGCAGACACGTTTTCATCCCACGGGTTACCCATGAGCGGGTGCACTGTGTGCCCAGGGTGGCTGGGCATGTCCATGGCGTTGTCCATGATCCAGCGTTGATCTCCAGTGGGAATGCTCTCCTCTGTGGACCAGGACCCTGGCTGTGGTGGGAAAAAGGAGACAGGGAAAGCAGGGGACAGGCGTTCACCCCAAGATGTGTTCCATGACCTGGCCCAGCAGTGCCACAGCGTCAGAGACCCCAGGCACAGCAGCGCTGGCAGGGTCTCCATGGGGGAAAGGTGACGGGCTGTGAGTGGGACCAGCATGGGAGCAGGCCTGGGCTTGGAGCGGAGCAGGGCTTCAGGGGGATCTGGCTGTGAGTGGCTTTGGATTGAGTGGGTTCAGGCTGTATGATCAGGCTGGGAGTGGAACAGGGCCACGAGTGGGTCTGGCCATGAGTGGGACCGGGCTGTGAGCGGGTCCAGGCTCTGAGAGCAGCCTGCGGGTGGCTCCGAGCTGAGGGCCCGTGGGCTCTGGGTGGGCACGGGCCGTGTGTGGGCTCTGGGTGGGCAGGGGGCGTGTGTGGCGTGTGTGGGCTCTGGGTGGGCTCTGGGTGGGCACGGGCCGTGTGTGGGCTCTGGGTGGGCAGGGGGCGTGTGTGGCGTGTGTGGGCTCTGGGTGGTCTCTGGCTGGGCACGGGCCGTGTGTGGTGTGTGGGCTCTGGGTGGGCACGGGCCGTGTGTGGCGTGTGTGGGCTCTGGGTGGGCTCTGGGTGGGCACGGGCCGTGTGTGGCGTGTGTGGGCTCTGGGTGGGCTCTGGGTGGGCACGGGCCGTGTGGGCTCTCAGTGGGGCTGGGCTCCGGGTGGGCACGGTGAGGACGGGCCGTGCGCGGGCTCTGAGCGGGCCTGGGCCGTGACCGAGTCCGCCCGGCCTGCGGGTGTGCCTGGGCCGCGGCAGCGTCCCCGCCCTGAGCACGTCCACGCTGCGAACGGCTCCGGGACCGGGCTGGGACTGTGCCTGTGGCCTGCGGCCGCGTCCCTGCCCCGCGTGGGGCCGTGCCCGGCGCCGTCCCGCGGCTCCGTGCCGAGGGCCGCCCGTCCCCGGCGCCCCCCGCTCCCCGCCCCACCAACCCAGCACCGGGCGCAGCCGCCGCCGCCGCCTCAGCCGCAGCAGCGCCGACACCGCCGCGCCCTCCTGTCCTCCTCTTCCTCCTCCTCCTCCTCCTTCCTCCTCCTCCTCTTCCTCCTCCTCGTGGAGCCCGCAGCCTCCTCGCCCCTCTCCCCCCCGGACCCCGCGAAGATGGTGGACCGCGAGCAGCTGGTGCAGAAGGCCCGGCTGGCCGAGCAAGCCGAGCGGTACGACGACATGGCGGCCGCCATGAAGAACGTGAGTCCCGTCCCGCGGCCGTCGCGCTCCCCACACACACACACCCCCCCTCCTCCTCCCGCTCCCCTCGCCCTTCCCGCGTGTTCCCCGCGGTGGGCTCGGCCGGGGGCCCGCGGGGCGCTGAGGGCCCCGGTCCCTCGCCCCCCGACACCCCCAGCCGGGTCCCGTTCCCGCCGCTTTTCCCGATCCAGCGTTACTTTGCTTCCTCCCGAGCCGCATCCCTGCCCTAGAGCCCCCCACGCATCCTCTGCCCTGCAGTGGGGCCCCCAGCCAGCCCCACGCCTCCTGCTCCTCTCCCTGGAGCCCCCTTGCCACATCTTTCGCCTGCTCTGGGGCTCGCATCCAGCCCCACACATCGCTCTCTCCTGCCCCAAACCCCCCCCGCATCTTCTCCCTTATTCCGGAGCCCCCACCCAGCCGCACACACCCCCACTCTGTGCCCTAGAGCCGCCCCTCATGCTCTGCTCTAAACCCTGCTCTTTGCCCTGCTGCCCCCACCCAGCCCCGCGCATCCCCTGGAGCACCCCCACATCCCCTGCCCTGCCCTGGAGCACCTTCCCTCCGCATTCCTGCAGCCCCCCACATCCCCTTCCAGCCGCGTTTCTTCTGCCCCAGGCCCCCCCGGTGCCCCCTGCCCGCCGTGCCCCGGGGCTGCGGCGCTGCCCGGGGGGGTCACACCGGCTCGGGGCCCCGGGGGGCGAGGAAGGGGGGACCCGGGCTGGGGGGGCCCGGGCTGGGGGGGTTCCGTGCGCGTCTCTCCCGGCTGCCCAAATCGTCTCCCCGTGCATCCCTTCCCACGCGTGGTCGCCGGGGCTGGTGTGTGCCCCTGACCCCAAAGATTGGGAGCCCTTTCACTGTCAAAGCTCTTGGTTTTACTGCTCTTGGTTGGAGATTTATGAATTGAGTCATGTTGTATTCATTTCACGCTCTTAAAATAAAGACTCTGCATATAGCAGGCTGATCTGATTTGTGACACTGAACGCTCCCCTTCAATACTGACATTTTGACAATATAAGAAGGGAAAAAAAAACATATCTCTGATCTGATCTTGCAAACAAAGCAATCGTGGGAGGCAGGATCAAGTCATTCCAGAAGATTCTGCATTTGTCATATTGCAGAGAGGCTAGACTGGGTGGAGGGAGGGAGGGGGTGCTTTAAAGGGGAAAACTGTTCTTTATGTTTGTCTTCTTAGTCAGGTCTGAACCTTTGCTGGGAGCTGGGGTGTCCTCCCTGGCTGATGAAAAGTGAATGCCGATGTGGGAATGTCGCAGTCTGCCGTGGGTGCAGCTCTGTTTGCCCATATTGCACCATTTTGTCAATAACCTTGCATTTATCAAACAGACAAAACTGTCACAGCCCGAGCCTGGGGAGGGAGGAGATGTCTTATCAAGGAATGAAATACGGATAATCGGAACGAGATATTATCACATTAAACCAGCCGGGCTGTCCCTCTGCTGCACCATGGCTTTTATACCATTTTCTGATAGCAGCATCTATTCATTTTAACGCAAAGCCTGCTGTGTGAGCAGATCCTACAGCTCATTTCCTACGGATAATACAGGCGCCGTGACAAAGCCAGCAGGGATGTGCCTGGGACTCGCAGCCGTGCTGCACTGTGAATTTCTCTCAGCCTGCCTCCCCAGGCTGGCTGCTCGAGCCCAGGTGTTCTTAAGAGCTCCTATGTGTGATTTTTCCTTACGGGCCCTGGTGAAACAGTAACCCGGGCTAACGCCTCTTATCAGCTGCCGGGTGGTTTGGCCGTAAGGAAACGATGCCCAGCGGGAGCGCTGACGCCTCCCTTCAGCAGCAAACAAAAGGCAGAGCTTTGTTCTTCCTTTCTGCACCGCGCTGCCCCAGCCCGGGCACGGCCGGTGCGGCGGCCACGGCCGTGTCACAGCCGTGTCACAGCCGGTTATCCCCGTCCCGGGCGCTGCCCAGCCCCCAGCCCCGCTTGTGCGGGAGGCTGATGACCTCGCACTCATTTCCGTAGCAACGCCTAGTGATGTCATATGCCATGGTCCAAGCTGCAATGCACCCAGGCGGTAGCAGAGAGCATGCGGGCTGCGCCTAGCGAAGGTGATGCAGAGCCATCCTGCCCTCCAAACCTGGCCCTGCCTAGCACCCTGCTGGGAAATGCTGCATGCTTCTCCTTTCCAGCCTGTCCTGGCAATGATGGGCATTCAAGAGGCTCGTTTTCCAGCAGCTTCATCTCACCCTTGCATTTTGGTGGCTCCCTCACATGGGGCAGCTGGGTTCAGCCTCAGCCCTGTGTGCTTGGGAGCCTGTGCTGAATGGCTGTGTTAATGGTTTAAAATGGAAATGGTGTGCTGGGGTTCTTGCTGTCTGCTGATTCATCTAGTTATGTCTGGGATTGCAATAGTTTCTCAAAAATAGTATTTATATATAATAACTTCTATCTCCTTCCTTCTTGCAAGTGCTAGCTGCCAGTGCCCCTGATTGCTGCCTGCAGTGATGTTGCTGCTGCAGGAGCAGGATTGCTCCTTCAGCCCCCAAAAAGGGCAGGTTTAATGGGGGGTCTCTGAAAACAGCAGATGGTCCCCTCACCTAACAGAGGGAGCAGAATGTGTGATACCACATGTGTGATGCCACACCCAGGAAGGGTGCAGGGCTGGGCCCATCGATCCAGGGTATGTCTACATGACCTTGGTCATGTCCCTTGTCACCTCAGTGCTGCCTGGGGGTGCCATCAGCCCTGTCAGGTGCTGGGGGACAGGAAAGCTCTCTGCTGGTCCCCAGTGTGGTCAGACACTGGCCTTGGGCTTGCTTGCTGGAGTTTCACTTCCCACGGTGCTGGTGGTTGGAGCAGGATGTATTTTTGTCTGGTCCAGCTGCAGGAAGAGCTTTGCTGTCCGGGCCCACGCCAGGGCTGGGGATCGATATCCATTAGCTGGCAGAGCGGCGCTGCCCCAGGTGGGAGCCCTGCCAAGGCCCTGGCCAGCACTGCCCAGGGGCAGAGCACGTGCCTCCCCACGGACCACAGCGCTGGGGGATGTGCAGGTGAATGAACAAGGTGATTGCAACAACTTCACCAGGAAATAAGGAAGCTTTTAAAAGTGTGTGGGGAGAATTATTGCACTGCACCTATGGGTGGTGTAGGTGTGGGGCTGTCCCCTGTGAGGGGAACACCTGACTGCTCAATTTGGGGGGCCCAACCTCTGCAGCAAGGCCCTGGCTGTGCTGTATGCAAGGACCACCAAGTGTGGGTGTGAAGGGGGGACTGTTGGAGATGCTGGAAAGCAGATGGTTGCTCCAAGCTTTAGACAGCACAGCTTGGTGCAGTAAATGGCCATTGTGGGTGGAGGAGGAGCGTGAGGATGGGGAATTGCAGGCCTTCCCTGGCACGAGGTATGTGGGCTTCTCCCGTGATGGTCACCAGCTGGGCAGGTTACCATCCTCCACATCCAGTGTGATAGCAAGGCTTCACACAGACAGCAGGCTCACCCTTGGAAAAAGAAGTGGTAACACAAATCCAGCCTATCTGGGGAGTCCCCAGGAAGCAGAGCAGGGATGATTAGCTGCTTTCTGCTCGCAGTGTACACAGACAAAAGGGTGGTGAAGGTGGAAAGGCTTCTCCAGGAGGAGTGCTGGGCAGGCCATCTGTGATGGTGGGAGGGGACCAAGGAGTGCGAGCTGCTGTAGTAGCACTTCCCAGGGGGCTGGGGAAGGCTTTGGAGAAAGCATTCCCAGTGCCGAGGTGGATGGTGCAGTCATTAGCTGTTGGCATCTAATGGCAGCACTGATGCTCTTGTGCAGGCAGATTGAATGCAGCCCAGCCTCGTGCTGCCTGCAGAGCACTGGTGGACTGCAGTGGTGCTGGGGATTGGAGACAGCCTGGCTCACAAGCAGGGCTTCATCCTGGAGGCCTGTGGGGTCAGGACAGGATGGTGGCTGTCAGGAGCTCCTGTCCTGACCTTGTCGAGGGTCACAGTGTGGGGCTGTGTCTGTGTGACTCAGCCCTGGCACCTTGTAGCAGTAGCCTGAGTCACATCTGCTCCCAAGCCACAGATAGGCAGCAGTGTGCCCTGTATGTGACTGCAGTGGACACTGCTCAGTAACTGGCCAGTCTTCAGCACATCAGGCTCTTAAAAATTCCTCTTTGAGCTCCTATGGCTCCTTATTTAGTCCCTTAAGGAAGAGTCACTGACTTACAAGACCATGCTGGGTTTCTTAGTTAGCAGCCAGAGTGGATTGGACTTGAAACAGCTCTTCTTGAACTAAACAAAAGTGATATTGAGACTATGAGGGAGAATATAGCAGTTGAATTGTACCTGGGGGCATAGAAACAGTAAAACTTGGGAAAGGGCTCCCCATGAACCCCTGGATTATTTGGGCTTATCCAGCAGATCTGTTGATGATGTCTAACCATGAAAGTACAAAAAGAGTGGTGGGAGTTGTCTTGATTTATTAATTTTTTTTCAACCAGCTTTATTTGCTGCTTCTTATATAAAAAGATGGCTGGTTCACAGGAGATTCAATTGTTTCAGTACACCAAATAAGTTCCATAATGTCAGTGGATAAACCCTTTCTGCCCCAGCTGTGTTCACCAGCTGATTCCAAAGTTGCTCACTGGAATAAGCTCCTTGGACACTGATGATGTGTGCTTGGGCTTGCTGGAATACTCAGGAACAGCAATTTAGGGACAACCATGGAACTTCAGCTCCAGAAATGTTTACTGGTTGAAAACTGCAGCACCTAGGGACATGTACACTGTGCTTGGCAACAGGATGATGTCTTTGGCATCCTCTTAGTGATTCTCATGGATGTTCTGGATGGTGCTTTTGAGAGGGTTATCCACATAACTGGTGTATCCCTCTGCCTCCTGCAGCTGAGGTTTGGTTTCTGATCAGGGAGATGAAAAACATGGTTCTACCTCAGCTTCCACAGCTGGTAGAATTAAGATTTTCCTTAATTTGAGGATCCCCACCATACTTTTTCTCCTTCTTCATACGTATTACTGAGCCACTTTTCTTGTGCCTGGG